TATATATATATATATATATTAATTATTACTCGTGCTTGAAGGTAATATACAATAAACAAAAAAATTTTAAATAATTGTTCAAATTAAAAAAGAATGGCCTAAAAATATTAATACAAAATCTTTTTCCAAAATGACTCGAAATATATTGTCGATTATATCCTCTATACTAATGGAACTATCATAAAATAACACTATATATACAAATACCTCTGGAAAAAAAAAACAAATAATAACATAATAAAACATAATTGAATTCATAATTTTTAAACGATAAATAAAATCAATCAAATTTTACTCATTTATAAAACTCATGAACTTATCACTATTATTATCATTCAATCCTACATGACACAATATAATTATAAATTTAAAGATTGTGAATTACACGGACACGTCCTGACATTTTATAAATAACATGGAGATTCCCTAAGGTTTAAAATTTATTGCATTGAGACCTCCTGAGGTTTGAAATTCATTGGATGGAGACCCCCTATGTTTCCCTTTTGTCAATATTGTTAACAAGAATTGATAATTTTATCCAATTTTTTTTATTATTTTTACAAATTGCCTTTCTCGAAATTTAGTGCCAAAAAAATTAAAAATTTAATAAAATAAAAAAAAATTGATTTAGCACCCAAATAATTGATTAAATGAATTTTAATATTAATTTGATAACAATAAATATAAATTAGACAAAATTAAATGTCACTTTTTGATAAAAATTATAAATTTATTTGTAATGAAAGATTTATTTCGTGTTGAATATTATTTGTTGTTTATAGTTAATGTGTTATTTTTTATTTACATTGAATGTTATTTTACAAAATAAGAAGTAAGTAGCAAAATACATGCCCATCAAATATATAAAAACTTTGAATTAGTTTCATGGAATAAATAATTGTATAACATGTAAATTTTTTTTTTATGAAGTAAATAATTACAAAAATAACACAGGGAAAAAAAAATAATAGTATGAGAGAGAGGGAGAAAGAGAGTTATATGAGAGTTTTATAGTTGTTAAAAAAATTAAAGTTCAATTAAAATCATGAATCAAAACGATCTAAACTGCGAAAAGGTGAAGACAAACAATCTAACTACTTTATTATATAAATATATTAGTTATTGTCTGTGTCTGAAGGCACGGAGTAATAAAAAATGGTAAAATATAAACATATTTATATTCATATCCAAAATCAAATCACAAACATAGAGGAAAAATAAATGAATTTAAGCATCAGTAGTAGTGGGGGTAAGAGGTGATGGTAGGAGATAGTGATAGTTGTGGTGGGTGACAATGATCGTGATAGCAGTGGTGGTGGCGGTTGCGACAGCGATGGCGATGGCGATGGCAGTGGAGGCGACAACGATGGTAGTGGCGGTAGCGGTGGTGGTGGTGGTGGTGGCAACAACAATGGTGGTGGTGGAGGAAGTGGTGGTGGTAGAGGTAATGGTGGAGTGTGGTTTCAAACACTATTTTTTTTAAAGTATTTATAAGAAATAATTCGTATAAGTACTTTTAAAAAGTCACTCTAAATATACCTCTATAACCTATTTTTTTATTAAATTTAGAGTATAAATATTAGTCATTAGATTAACTTTAAAGTAAAATTTAAAGCAATCTTAACCATAAAAAGCAAAGTCATTTTATTTAATTTTTTAAATTTAAATTATAAACTATTTTATTATATAGATATAATTTGTATTTAAAAGAGATATGAGATAAAAAGATAGAGTTGGGTGTATGAAATAAATAAGAGATAGAAGTCTTAAAGTTATAAAAGGAATAAAATTTTAATTAGGATCATCGGATGAATAATTCTCAAACGATTTGAACCGCGAAAAGATTAAGACAAATAATTTAACTATTTTATTATATAAATTTTATCTTCGTTTGATTTATTTTTAAACTTTATTACAACATAATATAAAATTCAAAAAAGATATTAAAAAAAAATTGATATTCTAATCGGCTACTAAAAGTATTACTGCAAGGATAATAAGACAACACTGCCAGTCACCGCTGTTTTTTCCATGTTGGGGAACTTTGAACCTTGTCTTGGATAAGACGGTTGGTTTTAGATTCATCACCTTATCCAAAACCGAAACTGATGACGCTGGCATAGATTCGACTCACCTCTCTACGACCAATGTCATTCTTTTTAGGAATCTGTGGGTAATTTTAAGATAAGATTGCAGACACAATTCCCACCCAGATTTAACGTTACCATGCCTCTATTATAAATTTTATATTTTTTTATATAATTTTAAATATCATTTTATAAATTTAATAATATCTTAAGATTGATTCTAATAATTCTTAATCGATTCTAAGTTGTCATAAAAATAAATTGTAATTCAAATCTTAAAAATTATAACATGACCCATAAAATTATAAGATAAACTTAAAAATTTGTATATTGTTGGAGATATGAATCCAAAAATAAAGTTGATGATGCACAAAATAGTCTCGTATAAGATTAACAGCCAAATGTGTGATAAGGTATATAATTATTGGACAATAAATAAAACAATCAATAGTAATAATGTAAATATTGAGTCAACATACTAATATATACCAGTTCGGTCTGGGTGACCTACTATACTTTGGGAAACGACAACGGTAGCGGGGGGATCTTTATTGTTAAAGTAAGGTGAACGGGAGAGAGAGTAATAGTTAGCTTTGGGAGAGGTACAATTGATAGGAGAGAGAAAAACTATGTGTGTGTAGAGAGGTGTAGAGGTAGAACTCAATATGTCCTATCATATAGAAAAAAACTTATNACTATGTGTGTGTAGAGAGGTGTAGAGGTAGAACTCAATATGTCCTATCATATAGAAAAAAACTTATAATTTATAAGCACAGGGCCTTGGTTAAGGTGATGACTTGAGGGCAAAGATACTAATTTTTTGGGTGGCTACAAAGGTAATAGTCATAAAAGGTTGTTTTGATTTTCAAGAGTGAGTATCTCAATAAATTGCTCCCCGCATATTCTAATTATTCTTGAACTCCTTCGAAGTTGGGCTGGGTTGAATTCTCGATTTGGGTTTGACCTATTCTTTAACTAATTTTGACTTACTTGATTTATTGGACCTGGTCTAGCAGAATCTAGGCTCGTCAAAGGTAAACAACAAGGCGAGCCACGAACTATGTGGTTTCTTAAGATAATTTGCATTATATAAAGAAAACACAGTACAATAGGTAATAACGCATTATTTTTAGGATACAATGGTTCAGCCTAAATGAGTTTAGTTTCACTCAAATATGTGCAAATCGAATGAAATAGAAGTTTTACACGTCACTTTTCTATTTTGCCCGGAGAATTTATGCAAAGAAAAAAGATGATAAAAATATGAGTTTATATTTCTGGCATGAAACATCTGATTATATACTGTTAAGAAAACTGTTGACCATATTCATTTCTATAATAAATTAAAAAAAAAAACGTATGTTAGAAAATAGTTGTTAGGCCTTTTAAATTCAAAGACTGAATTTTTAATGAGGGAAAATGATTGTTCAAAAATAGTTGTTCGACCCTTGAAATCTATAAACAGAATTTTTAATTAGAAAACTATTACAAAATAATAGAATCAAAATGGGGTGATTTTTTATTTTTATTTTTGGCATGCCATGGAGAACTTCTATTTAGCCCTACGCAATGCGAGAGTCTCAATGTCTTACTTAACTTAATTATTAGATATGACTAATAAAGTATATAAACTCAAATTCTTCCAGTAAATTGATCAATGTGGGATTAAGTTTCTCCCATAAAACACTCCTTTTATTAAAATTACTCTTCCTGAATAGCCTAGATTCTCCCATCAAGAGTCACTTTGAAAGCCTTATCTAAATTCTTCCGACTGAATATGATAAAACCTATAAAACGAGCTACTAACATTTATTCTAATGTAGTTAAAATGTTAGGATCTAAACAATATGGGTTGTTGTTATAATTTGACAAATTAAAGAGAGTCTGCACTATTTTATTATGTAAATGTTATCATAGAGGATAACAAAACTTGATGTAGAAGGGTATTCCGGCCTCGATTTTCTTGCGGCCCAATTAGTAGTGTATGAGCCCAGCCCTGAAATATTTGCAACCCAATCCACATGGAATTCTTTAGGCAATTGATAATTGACTAAATGGATA